TTCAGGATCTCACTACTAGATCGGACTCATAGTGATATGCCTGTTTACAGCCTCCCAAGAGCTGGGATTACAGGCATGTCGCACGACAACTAGTCTCAATTGCCATCTCAGCACGCCCTGGGGGTGGGGCCAGCACAGCAGGCCGAGGTATCGAACCCCTGGCCCCTGAGCCTCCTTGTGGCTGAGCTATTTGGCCGGCCTGCGAACACAAATACGAATAGGAGATTCACCAATGTTTTCTACATGCTTTCTGCACATAGCATACTTTATGGAAGTGAGTTTATACAGTGCTTTTAACACTTCAGACTTTTAACACTTCGTGGTCACTTTTCACTGTGACCCATTACACCCAGCATCGCAAGGATTTGGGATAAGAGAGCACACCCCGTAGGTGCACCTGTACATCAAAACCACTCGAGAGTCATGGAATAGTCATGAGATTGCTGCAGAGAGCTCCCTGTATGTTCTCTGCACAGCTTTCTGCCGTGTTGCCACCCCACATAACCACGGTGCTGTGCCCCCAGTTCCAGCTTCATTCCTCACCATTAGCTGACATTGAATAGTTTCACATTTTCCGGGTTTCCCAGCAACATCCCTTTTTCTGTTGAAGGATCCGATGTTGAGAGTATGTTTTCCTGAAGATACTTTGTGCTTACTGGAAGAGTTGTGTCCAGGTTCCCATTTACTGATTCTGTTTTATTGTCACTGATGGGGGAGTATGTGTGTATCCAAATTACTAATGAAATTAGCCTTTGTTTTGTGGTCGGTGTTCTTCTGGTTGCTGAACATAAAGGGATAGCAACATGAGCTTGGAATGAAGAGATAAGGAGAGAGCCAGGGGCCACTGCCACACAGCCCGGTTGGTGGCACACACCTGTAATCCTGTCCTTCTGGGAAACTGCAAGTTTGAGCTCAGCCTGGGTAATTTAGTCACTTAACGAGACCCTGCCTCAAAAGATTAAAATGGAAAAAAGCTAGGGATGTAGCTCAGTGCAAGCACCCTGGTTCAATTTCGAGAAATGTAAGAGAAAGCAAAGAAGAGGAGGAAAAGGAGGAGGAGGAGGAGGAGGAGGAGGAAGGAGGGAGGAGGAGGAGGTAGTGACTGAGGAAGAGGAGGAGGGAGGAGGAGGTAGTGACCGAGGAGGAGGAGGAGGAGGAGGAGGATGGGGGGAGGAAGGGAAGGAGGGGGAGGAGGACGAGGAGGAGACCAAGAACATGAACATCACCAGTGGCAAGCCAGGGATGGTCAGAGGATCCCCCTCTGCCAGGAGCGGTTACAATGTCATCGATTTCTTTTCTCTAGAACATGCACTGCACTGCTTTTGAAGAACTTCTTTAACCCGTGTAACTAGAGCCCTGGGCTTCTCCACGTGGACGCCTCTCCTGTATAGTGAATTGGACGCCACATTGCTATAAGCGTTCCTAACACTTTGAACTCTCCCTGCTGGAAATTTTAGGAGGCAAAGCCAACAACTGGGAAGGAGGTATTCGGATTCCAGGCATCCTTTGGTGGCCAGGAAGGATACAGGCCGGCCTAGAGATTGATGAGCCCACAAGCAACATGGATATCTTCCCCACGGTAGCCAAGCTGGCTGGAGCACCACTGCCCCAAGACAGGTACACGGTTTCAAGGCGGTCGTTGTGGTCTCTCTCTGATTTCACACACTGAGGCGGCCTCGTTTGCTCGGCATTGGCATGGTGCCTCTGGCTAGACTTGTTCTCTGTGTCTTGCTTTGGGATTCACTCGCCTTGACTGATGTCAAGCAAAAGAAAACAAAAGCAAAACGCCCCTCTGTCCACCCCATGATCCCAGGAGGAAGCCCAGAGACACTGGGTATTTTAGAAATCGCATGCAGTTTACCCACCCTATTTGTACCTGTTTGTGGGGGTACGGTACAGTAATTCCTTAGCTGGAGACATCATTGTCATTGCTGGTTCTGCAAGGATGTAGCAATAATTGCTATAAATTGTGGGGACGCTCTGGACTCTTCTGGTTAGTTTGCACTGCACTGTAAATTGCTACGGACTAGATTTGCCTCGGCATTCCACACCATACGAAAGTACATGCTCCTGTCTGAACATGTTTTGGTCCTCTCTAGCCTGTCTCCGTCCACCATCCCGATTGTGCTTGCCGGTCCACTGATGACCCTTCTACTCTCTTCTTCCACATGATTCGTGTTGATGGTTTTATTTTATTTATTTTTATTTTTATTTTATTGTGGGTTTTTTTGGCAGTACTGGGGATTGAATTCAGGACCCTGTGCTTGCCAGGCAAGTGCTTAATCTACTGATCTGTCTCCCCTGCCCAAAATCTTGTATTTATTGATTTGGTAGTGACACTCCTGTCTCAGCCTCTCAAGCGCTGGGATTACAGGAGCAACAAGCAGCACAGCATGCGGTACTGGGGATCGAACCCAGGTCCTTGCGCTTGCCAGGCAGGTGCTTAGACCTCTGAGCTATCTTCCCAGCTTGTGTTTACGGTTTTAGCTTCTACACACAGACCTACTCGTTTTCTTACCCTCAGTCTCTTCAAGCCGACTTGAGTTTTTCTTCCCCTCATCACCTTTATACGTGCGAACGTGCCTGCATTTGCCTCTCTCCCCTACCTGGTTTCGCTTAGCATAGTGCCTGCAGTTGCTGCAAAGGACAGCATTCCATAGTTGAATGACATTCCATTATCTACGCAGCCCGGTTTTTAATTCTTTAACCTGGGAACCTGCGCCTGCATACTTGCTGTGCTTCCTCTTCCTGAGAACACCGTGGTGGCAATAAATGTGGCAGCGTAGCAGTGTCCTCTTCATTCCGATGTCATCTGCTTGAGGGCTGTGCCCAGACCGTCATAGCCGAATGGGCAGATGGCAGATCTTCTCTTAGCTTTTTGAGGACTGCCCTTGCGCTTTTGCATCGTGGCTTCCTGAATTTCCATTCCACCCCACGGCAAGGAACATCTTGAGGGAGCGGAGGTGTAGGTGGCGGGCTTCATTCAAGCTTGTTCTTTAAGCCAGCTGCCAGCCCCGGCCCTCTCTTCCCACTCCTGGCTTCCTGTGCAGCCATGGGGCACCGCCTGCTGGGTCCCGCCCCTGTCCTCCGGCCTGCTCTGCGACTCATCGCTGCCGCAGCCGGAAAGGCAGCTGGCTCCCCTGTGAAGGGCCCTGTTTCCCAGCATGTCTGCATTTAGCTAGTTCTAAATGAAATGTCTTTCTCTTAAATTTAAATACAACTTCATATGACATTGCCAGTGGTTTCCTCCTTAAGTGTTATTACCAATCGGAGGAGTTTTAAGTGAAGCCCGCTGATTAATTGTTTTCATTAGCCTGGTGGCAGGCCAGGCTAATGTCATGCAGGCAGCTGCAAATCTTATTTAAATTCTCCTGACAGGACAAGGAAAAAGAGAAGCCAAAGCCAGATCAACAGCTCGGCCTCAGGGAGGCCAGAGCGGGGTCTGCGTGCCTCCAGATCCTACGATATTTTCAAGTTTGTGTCCTTTTTGTGCTTTTTTTCTTATTGCTGTCAAAATCTGCTTTAGGAACAGGCAGCATCTGCTTTAGGAACACACTCATTCCTAAACACACACAGGCACGTGTGTGTGTGCATACACACACACACACACACACACACACACACACACACACACACACATAAAGCGCGCACTCCCAGAGGCAAGGAAGACAGCCTTCAGTATTGATCCCACATCAAATGCTGTGGTCCTGAGAGTTAATGTACACTGATGTTTACCCGAGGACCTGGGAGCCCCGTTGTGGGTAGCCGGTGGTGGTTACCTCACCAGCACTTAAAACTGGACATAGTTGTAAAACCCCCAACATACCAACAGCATATTCTCCTGTCCACTGCAATGATGATGTTTGTCATCCATTGAGAATGCAAAGAAAATGTACTGTAAAAAGAAAAACACCATTTTTAAAACTAAGAATGTCTTCCTAGAATTATGATGGAGCATGTCTCCCCAGATGTCTTGGAAAGACCTGAGGAATCTCCCGGGATCTCTCCATAATCTTTTTTTTTTTTTTTTTTTTTTCTTTGCGGAACCAGGGATTGAACTTAGGCCCTTGCGCCCGCCAGGGAAGTGTTTATTCTACTGCGCCATCTCCCCAGCCCCCATAATCTTTTGAGAGTGGTCGGTGTTAAGGGTGAGAGTGGAGAATCCAAGCCACACTACTCCAGTTTAAATGTTTGCCTTGTTGTCTTAGTTAGTATTCTTTTGTTGCTGGGACAAATACCGGACACTCAAAATTAGGGAAGGAGAGGTTTATTTAGCTCACAGTTGTTGGAGGTTTCAGTCCATACTCAGCTGGCTCCAAGGCACAGGGCAGAGAGCAACCTTTCATGTCAAAGGCAAGGAGCAGAGAGCCAAGGGAGGGGCAGCAGCAACCTCTCTTTCCTCCTTACACTGTAATGCAGGGGCAGCACCCATACCCACAGTAATCAATCACAAACTTCAGAAGCTGCCCCATGACTACATGAGGATTTGGGGGAAACCTAGACACAAGCCGTAACACCTACTCAGCCAGCAAGCCTTGAAGATTCTTTAGCCTTGCTGTGTGGCTTGAGAAACATGTTCAGTGATAAGCAGCACGGATGTTACAAGGGTCACAGAGGTGGTAGGGCTCCAGTGAGTCAGGAATAGTGAGATACTCCCGTGACCCAGTTTCTGGAGTCCTTGAGGCAAGAAGATCTCAAGTCTGAAGGCTGTCTGAGCCACTTGGCAAGAGTGCATCTCAAAGTAAAAATTAAAAAGGGAGAGTATGCTGGCGAGATAGCTCTGCGACTAAGTGCCTGCTTAGGCAAGCAAAGGAACTGGGGGTCAATCCCCAGAACAACATGCTGTGCCAGCTCTGCCCTTGGGTGCACTGAGCCAGCCTCTGAGTCTCGGCTTGGTGGCGCACGCCTGTAATCCCAGCGCTGAGGAGGCTGACACAGGAGGATCACTACAAGTCTGAGCTGCATAGTGAGACCCTGCACGAAATGCATAAAAAGGCAGGGGTGGTTCAGCACAAAGACCTTGGTTTTAATCCTCAGCACATACGTAGAAAAAAGACATGAGTATATTTCAGGAACACTACAAAGAAAGCACGACAGTTGGCCACTTTTCTCTAGGCAGTAGTAACGTGTCAAGTTCTTTCCTTTTCCACATTTGATACTCATCCAGGATCATAGAGCCATCAAATCTTGAGAACTAAAGGAGGCTTTTAAGATCTGCTCCACTCAAACTCTTCCTTTTGCACTCCAGTGATAGAAAATTTGGCAGCAGCAATTCACAGAACATCTTCTCTTCTGCAGAGCCAAAAATCTCGCGCTCTGTCTTAACTGCTCCTTGGCCCCAGTTCTCATCTCTGTGATCAAACACACTTCCCCTCAGTTATTAAAACAGAGTGATTCATGAATCTTTTCATTGCATTTTTCTCTCATGATGTGAACTATTAAAATTATCACTGACCTCCACCTGCGTAATATCTGTGAATGCTTCTTACCCCCAAGTGCAAGAAGGTAAAGAAGAAGAAAGGCAAGGCGAGAATCCATAAAAGGAAATCTTACAGTTGCCCCTTCTGTTGACTCTGTTCTGCCCCTAAAGGAGCTCATTCTGTTCTACCCTGCTGAAGAAGAAAGCCACTCCCCTCTTCCTTAGACTCGGTTGTCTAGGAGGGAAGCTCCTGTCCTCCCTGGGACACTCTCGGAGCTGACGTCTTTCCTCTTCTCTTGCTTTCCTCAATGATCTCACCGAAGCTTACTGGCCTAAATCATCCCACAGTTATTGTCTCTGTTTAAGGTCCAGACTCTCAAGATTGGTCCAGCGGTCAGAGGTTTCCCTTATCCTGGACACGGTACATGTTAGCAGAAATCTGCTTCCAAACACCTTGTGGGAACCAAGTGGTTGTACGATAGCTTATTTAAAACATCTTGGCCAACATTCTTACGTTCCTGTGCTGGAGATTTTGAATGTACCAAGTAATAGATATGATGTGGCCTAAGTGTTTTCATCATGGGCTATTTATCAGTGCCCGGTAACATATCTGGTTGTCCTGTCTCAGGATGGAATCCAGGGATAACGGTAAACATCCAACAGGCACGAGACAACTCAGTACTATAGTGAGTTGGCTCCACACAATAATGACTCACCTGTAGAACCATCTAAAGTGCTGAGGTAGAGAAATTCTGCTCTGAGAATTACTGCTCTTGCATGGAAAATGTAGCTACAATAGAAACTCCCACCACACGTTTCATAAAATCATTTACATAACATCTTCATCACCTTATCCATCTATGAACGACATACATAGATATCAAACGTTCCCTTTCAGCATGGACTTAACTCTTTCCTGTTAAGACGAGTAGATCTTCTGACACCTATAATATTTAAACGATGGAACTTAACAAAAAAAGGGGATACAGTTGAATGTCCATCTTGTATCCGTATATTCAAAGTGGTTAGGATAGATATATAGTTACATTCTCTTAATGAATAGAGGGATTTGTTCTAATAGTGTTTTTAAATAGGATGTCATGTCCGCATCTTGTACAGCAATTAACCACTAGGAAGAATGTATGCAGTGTGTCAATTATTGAAACTGTCCTACTTAATTTGGTTTGAAACTGTCTCA